GTTGGAGCAGGTATTGGTATTTTCTGGGTCTCTGCAAACCTGAGCTTTGTTCCCAGTGGGCTTCCAGCTGTATTCAGGCATTGCCCGTCTCTTAAAGGGATCCTTGTTTCACTGCTTCGTGGAGCAGGTGTTTTAGTGCTGCAAGAACCAACGTAACTCCCATGTTTATTTCTCCCTGTGCGGGGTCTTCAAGGAGCTGGAAAAGAGAGGGGATTGGTATTTTCTGGGTCTCTGCAAACCTGAGCTTTGTTCCCAGTGGGCTTCCAGCTGTATTCAGGCATTGCCCGTCTCTTAAAGGGATCCTTGTTTCACTGCTTCGTGGAGCAGGTGTTTTAGTGCTGCAAGAACCAACGTAACTCCCATGTTTATTTCTCCCTGTGCGGGGTCTTCAAGGAGCTGGAAAAGAGAGGGGCAATCATGTTTGCTTCTGGTTAATTAATTGCTACCAAGAAGCATGGGATGTATACACTGATATTCTTTCATACCAAAACAATAGTTCTTTTAATTTCTCAGTGATAGTTTAGGAAGTATGGTCCTTTCAGGACTAGCTGTTGTGTTGCCTTCGAGAGTGTTGGATCTGCTAACTGCTTAGAAATGTGTTTTACTTAATGATGTGTATGTGCTGGCATGTTGATAGAAGGGTTCATTTGGTATAACTTTCTACAAGAAACTACCTGCTGTGACTAATGGACCAGCGAATGGGATTGCCAGGAATGGAGCCAGGGGTTCTACAGAGCCACTCACAGCAGCTCTAGAACTGCAGCAAAAGCGTAGATGCCTTGGGGAAGGCTCCTTCCTTTCTAGCAGTCTTAGAATGGTAGCTTGCTTGGCACTTTTGGGAAAAATTGTTAGGATCCTCTCAGTGAATATCAGGTGGAAATAAATCACCCTGTAAGGCATGACAATTCCGTAAGGCTGTAATTCTGGAGATCCCAAAAGAGAGATGACAATGAAAGGCATGTGAGAGGCATCAGAGCCATCAGATGGAAGAGCTGATACTTGTCACTTGCCCTACTCTTTCTCTGTGCACATCCTATTCCATTCATCCTGCTAGGGGTCAATAGCCAACTTGTAGCATCCACCTATGCCAGACTGAAGTTCATGCTGCTTCCCTCTTCTGGACCCAGCCATGTTTAGGTAGGTAGAACCTGTAGGACTGACTCCTGTCTCTTGATAGGTGGGAGGGGAAGGCTGTGTGACTTGGAGCCAGATTGCCAGTTGCCTGGTCCCAGTGTACCTTTGGCATCCTATTGCTGTGCTTTTGGCAGCAGTGGCTTGCCCAGTACAAAAGCAATAGAATTGTACCTGTTCCTAGAGTAAATTCTTCAGTTCAGCCTGACATACGGTGCTCAGTTTTCCTTGAAAGATGAAACCAGGATGTTCACATATGTTCACAAATGAGGCAGGAAATTTGGTCCCACCTTAGGTTTTAGTGGGAGGGTACAAGGAGACTTGAAATGTTGTTCTTTCTTCCTGGTCTATATTGAGAGACTTTAATGTTTTAAATGTAACTTTATTGAAAAATAAAATATTTATAATATAAGGAAAAAACCACAATTTAACTGCAGCACCTTGTACTTCTGGCAGCTGAAACCTTCAAAGACTGGCTCAACAAAGTTTTGCTGGCTGGGATGTGAAAGAGAAGAAGACAAATTAGCTACACAAGACAGTGGTAATGAGGGCTGAAGAGAGGGAAGAAGTGAGCCTAGCTGTTATCTCCCAGCATATCCCCAAATCCCAGTGGTGGTTTCTTTGGCATCAGGCTTGTCTTGAAAAAAAAGCAAAAAAGGAACCCTTGCCCTTCTCCCAAAGAAAGGAAGAACAGCTGATCTTCTACAGCTCACTTCTGTAAACTGTACACAAACAAGGGCAGAGTGTGGGGATCATGTTCTGTGCCCATATGATTACATAAGGACTGCATATTCCCTTCTGTTTGTCTGGTGATGTGTGGATGGCTTTTGCCACACTGGTTAGGAGTGTCTCTAAATCAACAGCAGTCTTGGGGATGAATAATTTTGCAGCTTTGTTTGCCCTTAGTTTCACAAGTAATGGTTCCAGCATAGCACTGATACATGGAGAGGGATGCAGAGCTGTCGTCTTTCTATGGCTGTGTTTATCCGACAGTTCAGTAATTTCTGCAAGTATTCTGATTTTGTAAGTGGTCGTATTTGTGAAGGAAGGGGAGGAAAGGGAAATGGGTGAACCGAGAGCTTTGTTTTCTGCCAGGCTCAAAAGGAGGTTGCCAGAAGACAGCCTGATTGCAGGTAACTTCCACCTGCTGTTAACATTGTACTAAGAAGCTTGGAAGACACTAAAGATTTGTAAACAACCAACCAAAAGCAAACCTAAAGACACTGCCACATGATGTTGGTACTTACAACTTTAGCTATGTGCTCCCACTGTAATTGCTGGCTAGGTCTGTCAGTGGATGAGAGGGCTGTGGGGGTGTGTGAAAACAGCCTGCCCCACCTATTGAGACCACAATGTGTGCACAGTACACCATTAGATGAACTGGTTGCCCCTGCACTAGCCAAAGCACCATGCCAACCCTGTGATGTAACTGAGGTGTAGGAGCTGTGTTTCAGCATCACAAGTGCTTTTTTCATTTCATTTCAACCAAAGACTTGACTTTCGGGCAACTTGCATGAGGGTACCCCAGGGAGGTTTTAAGGTTCCAGCTGTGTTTTGTTGGAAAGTCTATTGTTGCATAGGTCAAGCTAATGCTTTCTCTCGCCACGCATGAAATAATATGGTATGAACTTGGAATGGTTAAGTTGTTGAACACTAGATATGTGCTGAAAAACTGCAGGACAAGGCCTGCAAGTCCCCTTGTTCTTCTTTCTGAAGGTTATAAAGCGCCCAGAGGGACTTGCAGCTCCCAAAGTCCAGGCTTACACATGCTTCCTTGGGCGACTCATAGGTGAAGTTATTGCAGAAATACAGGACCACTGCTAGTGACTGCATACAGACACAAAGGCAGAGCTGAAGACTTGATTGCTGTGTTTATTTTGACCACTGTCCCTGAAACACTAGTAGAGAGCCCTACAGAGCTGTCCTGTTTCAGGAAAGAAAAAACAACTCTGTTCTAGAGCAATACGGAGTTTTGAAGAGTATGTGTACACACCCTGTTAACAGCCTCCTAACCTTCAGGAACCTGCCGCTGTAGAGGCAAACGCGTATTTGACAAAGTGTCTTTGTAAAAAGCAGCTTAGTTTGCACCACAGCTGCTAGGCTCTATTTAGTTATGCTATTTAGATACCAGTTGGACTTCCTTCATTTTCTCAGAGTTTTAAGTTCATCACTTCAGGAGGTTGCCTGTTATAATTAGTTTTCCCAATTACATGGGATGGGAGGAGTGGTAAACTATATATTTGCTCTAATGTCTTTCCTTTTCTTAACAAATGGAACTTGGCTGCTGCTTGAGGTCTTCTTTCTCCATGCCTTTTGCTTACAAGTTATCTCTCCAGCAGCTGTTTTCCCATGACTGCTGTATCCAGTTATCTTTCTGAGTTACCGATGTTTATTTTTCTCTGCAGCTGTATTTCTCCAGTTAAAAGCTATGGGTGGAATTCTTTAGGGCTAAGTCTTATTATAAACTCAACATTTAAACAGTGTCAAGACATAAGATAGTGGGTTCCCTCACCCCTGAAGAGTTAAGTGGGAGGGGTGGGAGCTCAGAAACCAACACTTAGATGGGAATAACTCTTGTTACATAAAACAAAAATGAGTTTAAGATGTATCAATAGTGCTCTGTATGCCACCTGCTTTGTGAAGCACAGAACTCTGAAATATACTTGACCTTAGTTCACGTTCTCTGAGAAGTCTTTTAGAGGCCCTAAGAACACTTCAGCATCTCAGAGAGAGTCTCTTCTTAAGGGTGGATCAAGGTATATATGCTGCTCCTAATGATGTTTGAGTGGTGCTGGCAAAATCTGCAAAGGAGGGTGTTGCTACAGCGCAGTATCTCCTCCCATTGCCACCACCTCACTAATGAGCATTTATTGGATGCACCATTTAGAAATTTGCAGACATATGCCTGGTTCATCCAAATGCAGGTGAAGCCTTTTGTTGCTTATCTGAAGGGGGAGCACACAAGCCTTAGTGGAATACCATCCCCTTTCAGGAGGCTTCCTGTTGTGCAGGTTAATTGAGTTGCTGGCTGTGACCTGCTCTGTACCAGACTAGCAACCTGGCCTGTAGGGCTTCCCATAGTGCTGTCATGCTGAAAGGCACAAGCTGCACGATCACTGCAGTTGAATGTACTGCATTGTGTTTCAAAGTATGAGACTGACTTTCTGCAGAAAACTCATGTGCTATAATGATAGCCAGGGTGACAGATTTAACAGCTGGCGTCCCTCAAGATCCTTCCTTTTGTCAGCTGTACAAGTTTGGCATTTCCTGTCAAGGCAAGTTGTTCTCCAGCTTCCACTGAAAATGTCATTCTAGTCTTGAAGCTCTTTTTCCTTTTATTTATTTTAAAATTTACTTATTTTCTTTTGGATTTAGACTGTGCATTCTTGTGCTCTAAGGGAACATGAGTGCTATATAGCAGAGCTGGAAAATTTTTCATAATTTTGGTTAGACAAACAGCAGCTTTCAAGGTGCTGAGTTGGCAAATGGGAGAAAGACTAGGCTAGACACTGGCGTGTGCTGCAACAAAAGATGCATTTGTTCCATCCAATCATTCATTTATGTAAGAAAGAAGACTCAGTTTCAAGCCTTAGCAATGTAATTTTGTTTTTTAGTCTCTTCTTTCTGGATGCAAAGTCTTTTATTCTAATTCTTCAGTTATTGGCCACTTTCAGGAGCTGTTCTTGAACTGGGGGTAGATGAATGCAGTAGTTATTCTATTAG